TTATCTCACCACATGTCCAACAAGAGGCTTTTCATACAGTGCTCCAAGAAATGCCCATTTTAAGAGTTGTTTTCCTCTACCTAACTCTGATCCTAAATATAAAATCAAATTAACTAATTTAAAGATATTAAGAAACTTATTAAATTACTCTAAAGTATGTATATTTATCACTTTTATTCAAACTAATTTGCCACTTAAAAATTAATATAATGATTTACATAAGTATTTGAAAGAGATCATATAATATATGCTATTATTAAATAATTTATTAATTTTCTTAATATCTTTAAATTAGTAAATGTGTCTTATATTAAACACCAGAAATAGTATTCATGTCTCTATTTTTAGACGGGGGTAGTATTATGTCTCTTTTTTAGTAATGCCAATTATCCATTTAATAAGTACTACGCATGCCATGGTTAAAAAAAAAAAAAACTACGTATGGCCATTTTTCTTTGGTCTCTCCAGTTTTTACCTCAAAAAAAAAAAAAAGAACAAGAAGAAAAGAAAACCTTCATAATTAACGCATTATTCCTTCGATACCAAAATAACATAACTCCTAATTGGCTGGTGACATAAATACACATAGCTCCTATTTGCATAAAAGGGCATGGCAGAACCAACTCTGACTATCTTATATTCTCTCTCTCTGCTCTCTCTCTCTCTCTCTCTACCGGTATACTAGCCATAATCTGTTCTGAACATAATTTGCTGCTGAAAACTGACCCACTGTGGAGTCAGTAAGATGGACATGCAAAGCTCATCTCTTTTAAACCATTCAAATCATATTTAAATGATCTAGATTTAATCTTTCGAATTAATTATTTTTATATAATAAAAATTAGAAAAATTAGGGATAAATCTTTTATTACAAATTTAATTAGCAAATGATCTCTAGAATGATTGATTGCACAAGAGAAGATTAGTTGCACACAAAGAGAAGATAGTTTGCACAAAAGTATTTGAATATAAGGGATTAGTTTACACATAGAGAAAATGATTTGCATATAAAAGAATTTCATTTGCACAAAAAAAATTAAGTTGCACATTGCACAAAGAAAATTATTACACACAAGGAAGATAAATTACACATAAAGAAGTTAAGTTGCACAAAGTTCTTAGATCTTATTTGCCAATTAAATTTTCAATGAGGGATTTATCCTTAATTTTTCTTAAAAATTATTTTTTAAAAAAAGTGATAGTTAATAGATCATTTTTATTTTAGATTCTATACCTATTAAAATAATTTTTTTAAAAAAATTTAAATATGGATCATCTAAGTCTCATCTAGATCCAGATAGAAAAGATGAACACCTAAGTTGGTTCTGCCTCATTATCTAGTATTTCATCAGCTTTCTGTGAAAATAGTGTATAGTGTTCATGTATTGTTTATGTATATTAAACTGACAATAACTTCAACTTTCAGTTCTGTTCATCCAAGGTCAAAAAAACTTCTGTTCATCATAACTCAATTCACATTACTAAAATTTAAAATTTGTGGTCGTATAGCTGCTAGTCCACCAATTTATCGCATACAATATATGAAGGAAGCCCCCTATTTTAGACAATGTGACTGCGTCAGAGATAAATTATTTTGAAATAATAATATGACTCCGTCAGAAATAAATTATTCCAAGTTGCTAAAGATTATATTAACTTAGTCAAACTCATAGACAAACGTTTTTTTCAAAGACATAAATGGCGTCTATCATAGGGCACTGGTCTTGTAATTATTTTTTGGGGGCCACAAGGAGATAGTCAATTCAATTTGCAATTCCTGTCCCCTCTCAAGCCATTTTTTCTCGTTGCAATTTTCTCACCCTTCCTTAACAAGCAGGTCAGATAAAGAATTAATGGTATCTTATGTTTACAATGATCTTTTCATTTGTATGAATTTTGAAATCTAATGTATCAGATGAAGTTCTCTTTACTTTTAAAGCTGAACCCAGGAGACTAGGTTTGATATATTCTTTTACAAGTAACCCAAGGCTTACTCTATCTATTTCAATCTTATGCCTTGTCTCTTAAACCCCAGTCTTTCTGGTCAACCCACCGAAAATACTTTTTTTTTTTAAATAGAGTTTTAAAATATTTAACATTATATTTAACTTAAGAGGAAAAAAGACAAATAATTACACTTAAAGCTTGGAGAATTTTTAGCAAAGGCTAGGCAATGTGGGATTTGATCACACTGCTTTTTGGTTCCTAAATAATACACTGCCAAGTTATTTTATATTACCAACAATTCTTAGTATAAGAGTTAGTTGTGAGTGAAGTTTGATTTTAAATACACGATCTTAATCCACTCTATCTCTTGATACTTGTCATTATTTTTTCAAACTATCCTTATTTATTGTGTATGTTAAAGAATTTTGTATTAAGGAGTAGTTTTAATGCAAATGATTTAATATAATATTTTAGAAAAATCAAAATATTTTTTGACAAATAACTAATTTATCTCATTTTCATAATTACTTAAATTAGTTAAATAGATATTATACTTAAAGTCAGAAGTAGTATATCATTTTACATTATATTAGGGTGTGCTTGAGATTGCATAAAAGTGATTTTTTAAAACACTTTTTCGTAAAACGAGACAAACTTCTCTACATATTTACTTCGTATGCCATAAAAATATTTTTAAAATCATAATTTAGTTTTCATCTAAATTTTTTCCTGAAAGCTTTAAGTAGCTGTGGCTATTTACTTGTATTGTTTTTTCCTCAATTCAAAAACTAGCTTGCTCTCAATCACCAACCTGGACATTCAAAATAAAAGCCCAAATCTTTTGAAGTAGTTATTTGGAAAACAGAAAACATCTTAGTCATCATGTTATCGTTTTATAAACCTGTTCATAAAGAAGCAAATAAGAATAGAAAAAGGAGAAGTCAAATTGTGCGGAGTGGAGAAAAAGGCAAAAGCCACAATTAGACGTCTTTTGAGGTTTTGGAATAGTTGGTGCTCCCTTTTCTTTTTGTCTTTGTGCGATGAACATATGCCGCCTCAATTACCAGCGTCACGTGAACGATTCAATCCGTCGAAAGTTCCCTGCCCCTTACTCTTCGCTAAAGTGGACCCCACCTCGAATATTATCATCCCTTTCTCACAATTTTGCAATTCAATCAATTAATTTTATTCATATCCTTCATAACATGAAATAGATTAATTAAATTAAATTTTCAATAATCATATAATTGTAAACTGCATTCAGTCCCGCTGGTAAAAAAAAAAAACTATATTCAGTCCCTAAACTAAATAGATTACTTTGAAATACTTATATTTATTATTTTTTAAAAACTAATTTACATGATTTATAAATATATATAATCTAATAATATATATAAATATTTTTAGATCATATAACATATATTATAATTAAATACTACCTCTGATCCTTAATATAAGGTTTTGTTTGACTTTATTTTTGTCATAAATATAAGACCCCCATCCATTTTGTCTTTCATATTTATGCATCTTTTTAAAGTAGTCCGTCTAATAATGGTAATTTTAGCTAATACATTTGATTGGTAAGGATATTTTACGAACGATAACACCTATTTATTACAAATAACTAACTTAACTTATTTTCTTAATATTCTCAAATTAGTCAACTAACTCTTATAATTAGGACCGGAGGTGGTAATTTATTTCTTTGTTAATCTCTGTGAAATACTGCTTTCGGTCCTAAATATGAGAGCTAATTGACTAATTTGAGTAGATTAAGAAAATATATTAAGGTAGTTATTTATAATAAATAGGTATTATCTTTCTTAAAATATTCTTGCTAATCAAATTTATTAATTAGACTATTATTATTTGAAGGACTATCTTAAAAAAATCAATATAGAAAAAAAATTAAAATATTATATTTAAGACTAAAATAAAATTAAATAAAAACGTTATATTAAAAATCAGAGAGATAGTACAAGTGATATGTTAAAGAAAAAAGCTAGTATTAAAATATGAATGGATATTGAATTTATTATTTTATTCTCTAAATGCATTACACAAGACACACGCACAACTTCAAAGTGGGGCGGGAATACTTATTGAGTTTTTTCCACGACCGCGCATTGACGATAATTCCATGAAGAGAGCCACTTGAGAGAAAATGCGTAACGTGGAACATAGTGCCCGTTTGGCAACACTTATTTGGAGTTTATAAGTAGCTTATAAGCTCTATAAGCTCGATTGACAAAAGTAGGGTCTGTTTGGATCAGCTTTTTTGTAATCGGGTTTTTGTCTGAAAAGCTACAACAAGCTATAAGCTAAAATTAACAGCTTATGACTTATAACTTATGGCTTATGGCTTTTGAAATATGGAGTGAGAAAAAGTTAAGAAATTTATTACTTCTTTTGGTTCTTATTATAAGCCTCAAATAACTAATTTGTAGATAATAAAAAATCAATTAAATTAGTGAAAGTAATGAATAAGTTAGAAATATATTTTATTTTTAAATATGCTCCTAAAATATACTTTTATTTTTTCATGTTTCACTTTATATTTAAAATGTTTTTTAATGACTTCTTCATATTAAATTATTTTAATTTCATTGTATTATGTGAAATTATTTTTTAATCATGTTTCATTATTTATTAAACTCATGCCCATTTTGGTAATTTTTCAACTAAAATTACTTTACTCAACTAAATCCAAACAAACTTTTTCCAATCTCATTTTTGTAAATTAGCTTGTCTGAACTCCAATCCAAACACAATTCAACTTATCCAATTTAACTTTTACCAACTTCACTTTTTCATAAGTTATTTTTTCTATAAACTGCTTTTCCGATTAACGTCCATTAAATAATCTCACTCCCTTCCGCGAACCTCCTCCTTTTCAGTTTTCATTCTTTGACTTCTCTTTCTCTCGTCATTCAGGAAAATTCTATGCACAAACAGACACAGAAAAGCAGGTCACCCTCCCCATTTTATAAGATTTAAGCATTTTCGTAGGAGAAGCTGCGGAAATTTCCCGTGAGGCTCTCCAGGCTCTCCAGCACCTTCTTCTACCTTTCAAAGCCGGCCGTAACGTGATGGATTCAAACTTCATATGCCTTATATATAGAACCGGCCCTCCATCGGTTCTTCAAACCATTCCAACAAGGCAGATCATAGCCTTTTCGTCTCATAACAAAATACCAATTTGAGTCCGATAGAGGGACACCGGAATTTTAACTTTACATCGCTTTGCAGAATTTCTGTAGCCATGGTTACCGGCCAACTTGATTGCTTGATTCAATTCGACAGGTTAAATTGTCAGGATGATGCTACCTCCAGTTCTAATCCCTTATTTGGTCTGTTAGACCTTTTTCTTTTGGGTACAGTTTTCACCAAAATAAAGAGTTATTTCCCAAAGTTTTGGTTTTTCCTTCTGTCCCAAAAACATGTCTCAGATTCTGAGTTGAGCCACCAAGAGAATTCGGTTCCTGGAATCAGAGAGGACGGGGCTCTTGGTAGGGACGAAGTGAAAATGGTGATGGAAAAATTAGGGCTTTTTTGCAGCTCAGAAAGTGAGGAACTTGAGGCTAAATATAGTTTGGGCGAAGTTTCTGATGCGTTTGAAGAGGAGGAGCCAAGCCTCGAAGAGGTGAAGCAAGCATTTGACGTGTTTGATGTGAACAAAGATGGCTTTATTGATGAAAGGGAGTTGCAGAGAGTTCTGTGTGCTCTGGGTTTCACCGGAGCTGCAACACAACGAGAGAACTGCCAGAAAATGATCAGGAACTTCGATGAGAATGGAGATGGAAGAATAGATTTCAGGGAATTTGTAAAAATCATGGAGAACAGCTTCTGCTGATTTGTTCTTCCTTGGTTTAAACATCTATTAAATATCAGTCATTGATCCAACCAATTTTTATTTTCGCTGTCTGTGTGAGACCTCATCCGTTAAACGGAATCCCATATTTATGATGAAGGCTCAGAGCCCACACACTCCGCAATTCAATAATAATAGATATGTTATCTTAACAAAACAACCCCACTGAAGGAATCAATGTCTTACCCGGTATTAAATTGATGTGTAGATACAATATTTGATTTTGACTCCTAGTACGCTTTTTTAGTTTCAATTCGTTCTCCGTTTGTTTTCTGGGTAACATAGGAGGCTAAAAGGCATTCTCCTTTAAAAATTACTGCAAGTTAAAACGAAACTTGATAACCTTGAATGAAGACAGTCATTATAAACTCTGTGAAGTAAGAAGCCTGTGTTTGCTCGTTGGGATCATCTGGTTCAATTCAACACTAGAGCCTATCTGTAGCCTCTCTGCCCAAACTTGCTGACTAGTCCGCCATGTTTAATTAGCAGTGTTGCAGCAATTTTCTTTGCTTTTCCCAACAGACCAACATGACCCACGAATCAACCATAAAATCAAAATTTTTATGCCCTCTGATTCAAATTACGATTCTCAGTCAATAGTAATGGATTTGGAAGTACTTGTATTCTAGCTCAACCGATTCAGTTGGCTGCAATATGACATCCTATGAATAATACACAACCCCATTTCCACCATTTAAGAGTTCCAAACCATAATTTAAAGAAACTAAATGATCAGATCAAGATTTTCCCACAACCTCTTCTTCAGTATCTATATTCTATATAATACTTAAACTATATGAAGTCAATATGGTGTATTTGCCTGTGAATCGTATTATGATTTGATATATTTAGCTTATATTGAGCTACATGTTTTGTTGTTTTGCGGTGTAATGGTTGGATTTTTTCCGTTAATTTCAAAATTAGTGGGTCTCACTAGATGATTTTGTCACAATTATGTCTCTTGTGCAATAAACAAGACCGATTTCTAATTGGATAAACTGCGGCAACAAACCTGCAATTCACACAGCAGCCACATCCACCTTCCATGAAAGGACCAAGCATATAGACGTTCTCTTGCACACGTGCATGAGAAAGTTCAAGCAAAAAGCCTGTTCAAGCAAAAAGCCTTGTCCGGATAGAAGTTGGGTTTGGAAGCCCAAAATGTGATCTTTAAACATTTATCCAAAAACCCTTTTTTTTAAGAACCAAGTTTGAGCTCCTAACTGCGGTTTTTTTCAATAAAAGTTATTCAAATGCTCTTATTTGTTAAAAAACCACGTTTGCGCTCATAAACCACGTCATATGAGAAGCAACTCTAACTTGCATATACTTCTGATTAAATCAGTTTTGTCTTAAATTATGCTTATAAATCAATTTTATCCAAACTCCATTTTGCCTAACACTAATCCGAATACACCCTCAGTTGCTGCTCTGCTCAACTTGCTCATGCTGCATTTGCTTGATATGCATGTTCCAGCTTCAGTGGGAGTAACAGAGGATACAGCTAGCGAAGTTAGTTAAACTAAATTAGTTCAAGTTACTGTCAGCCGTTAGTAGTTTATGCCATTTGTTAGCAAGACTCATGACAGTTAACTCTAAATTGTATATGCGTGTACATCAAATCATAGTGGAAAGTATCTTCCTCATTTTCCAACTCACTTTCATATTTGCTGACCATAAAAGTTATGACTTGAAAACAGTTTGGAACTTTGGTTACATTTATTGCACATAATCAAAATGATTAAAAGGAACATAATCATATTTTATCAGAAAGCCAATTGAAAAATCCTTCCTCGCAACTTATTTAAACAAAGGCACACTCCACTTGCAAGTGCCATTATAGAATAAAGGAATTTTAACCAACGAGTAGTTGGTCGAACTAGTAAATAGGTTCACCTTCCGTAAGGATGAAAACGCGTGTTCGAGTCCCGGAAAGCACTCTTGTTGGGAGAGGAGACAACCTCGCCTATGTGGGCAGCACTCCTACCCCTTGAGTCTGGATTAGTCGGTTGCCAATAGGCGCCAGATTACCGGGCGGTGTATAACAAAAAAAAAAAACAGAATAAAGGAATTTTAAGATTGTAACTAACCACCAACCAAGGGGTCCATATGCTGATCGTTATCATGTTGATGGGCTTAAGTATATCCCTCTCTGATATGAAGTATACTCAGGTAGAAACCTCATGATAACACTTCATATCTTTAAACGAATATAGCCATAAATGATTAATAAAACTTATAAATATATAGGGAGAGCTATATCGTTCATTCGTTGTAAATACCACAACGCAATTTCAGATTTTGCCAAACTGCAAGAATTTGTCCCTCTCTAGCTAATACCCCTTTCTAATGTAAAGGATCCAAGTATCGATAATTAAGCTCCTTTATCTAGATTTATTTCAAGGTATATTTTTTTGTGGGGGCTCATTCAAAAGAGACATCAAATGTTGAAAATATATTGTTCACACTTCACACAGAAAGCTCAGAGGAATGGAGGATAGATAATGTCAGAAAGAAACTAGTAGCGAATTTTGATTGATGTACATGCGAGGTGAGCGAGCACATGAAGGGACTAGATATTTTGTCATGTATGTTATGATGAAATTGAATTTGTTGCAGAGGATGTGTTGCAGGAATATTGAGGCCACAATATGTCAAATGGAATTTATGTTCACTCTTGTCTTGTGCAGAGCAGTTGCTTTCTGTGGAAGAAACAGTTGTTTTTCCCCCCACAGTGAAATGTTCCTAACATTGAGGGTAAACACTAATTGAAGCGGAGACAAAACTGGTGGGTCAAACTCAAACGGTCAAAAAAATGAGAAGTCCAAATGTACAAATGGAAAGACAAACATAACTTGAGAACCCACCAAAAGAGTTGCCAAAAAGGGCCAAAAGAAAAGACCCTGCAGCTAGTAAAACTGAAGAATCAGGTTACATTTCATTTCAGGGAATTTATTACTTTCTTACTGAAATTAGAACTGATCATAAGAGATCAATAATATGTGGACTTAAATTTAAAAAGCAGGTACAGCTCAAATCTGAATTCAAGATATTGTTCATAAGCAATTAAGCACAGTTGAAGTCAGGCATTTAAACTACGTTACCCAGGAGCGGCATGATCATTATCATGATGTCTCTTATTCAGAAATAATTGAAGCCCAACAACATTAAAAGCATACTCAACAATATATTACAATCAAATTAAAGTAAGGAGAACCCCACTTGCTCCCTCAAGTGGGATTCTTACAAACGACTTATCATTCTCACAAGTTGTACCTTATAGTACATGAAATCATTATCACAAGCTGTACCTAATAATCCTAGCAGTACATGAAACCATTCTCCGCCAAACAGAGCCACTCTTGAGGCGTCCCATATGTTGTTCACCTCAACAATATTTTAATTGCTTCTCTCATTACTCTATTACCTTGTACCAAACTAATAATACTTTCATCCTATGGAATTTTAGCCTTGGAAAAATCAATCGACGTGCAAATCTGTTCCAAAAGATAACAAATTCATTGTACTTTAGCCATTTCCGTTTAGTAAAATCAATGGACAAAAAGACTGAGTTTCCACGGAATTATTACTTTTAAGGACAAATTAATAAACATGCACAGTCGTTAATTTTTTTGTGAAGGCTAAGATAAACTCAAGGTGAATTCAATTCAGTATCGAAATTGGCGTCCAGTATAGGTCTGGCCAAAGGACCAAGAGGGTGGCGCAACGTTGTAAGAGACAAGAGAGCGACCATCACTGGTGGTGACCAAGAAAGAAAGGGCCTGACCAGTGAGGTAAGAATTGCTCTGCCAGTTTTGGCCCCAGTTTCTGGACATGGCTTGCCATCTAATCCTTGACCCCTTGATTGCCACTGCATGCACATCTCCAGCTCCTCCAACGTTTGTAACCAGCACTAAATTGAAGTATGAATGCCCATTGATGGTAAATCTTATTCCTCCTCTTCTCCTACACCTCACCCTTCAATTCCATTCAACCACACCAGAAAAACGTTGTTAGTCGGAGAAGATAGTGTCACGAGGACCATGCTTTAACTATTCTTGTCACCATTTCACTTTGAAAATTTCTTGTTTGTCACTGCTTTTTGATGAAACTTCCTTTTTAACTCCCAAACATACCTTGAAAATTATTGTGACTGTAACTGTGAGAGCAAATGAAAGAAGAAAGTGAAAAAAGAAGGTACCTTCTGTAACTGACAGGAACAATGCCGGCTTTGTACTGAGCAATGTGTTGGAAAACAGGTTGGGAAAGATCAAAATGGAGGTTGGGAGGGTCACACCAGCCACCTGGTGGGCAAAAATTAGTGGCAGTGACCACAACAGTGCCGGGGAGACACCATTGTGGGTCATTCACACATCTAATCTGATAACATGCACCACAGCTTAGTCCATTGTCAAACAAAGCACTGCTCACAGCTGCTGTGTTTGTTCCATATCCTTGACTGTACAGATTTCCGTACCCACATGCCCCTCCTGCAATATAACATTTCACCCTATCATCTCAACGACATCCAAACATATTATTCTCTCCTTTTTCTGTCAATAATGGTGAAAGAAAAGCTCTTTATGTCTTAGTAACGATAGTTGGTTGGCTTTGGTTACAGGCTTACCCATAGTTCCTGAAGCATCGCTACCGCCATAGAAAGTTGCATGAGCATTATTCCAGCCCCCGTAGCCATGTCCATGAACAAAGGAGACAAATCCCAGAAGAAGAAAGCCAAAAGGAAGAAGACCCATTTTTGTTTCCTGCATAAATATGGGAAATTTAAGATTGGTATGGAACAATAAAGAGTAAAGGAAGAGAATGAAGATGGAGAAGAAGAAGAAGAAGGGTGAACCTTGAAAGGTGGTGTTTTGAGGGGATGAAGGTGGGGAGGATTGGAGTGCGAATAAATAGAGGCCAGTCAACGTCAAAGATGACAGAGACGACCTGACACATTTTGAGCTGTTGGGACCATACAAATGCAGTAATATCTATGTATGCTTGTGTTTGTGCGAGGTAGTAAACGGTCTTGGAACTCTGTTTTTGTGAAAACTTGTCTCTTTCTTAATCCAAATCAATGAAAGGTAGATTCCATGTGAAGTTCTAATAGCTGATCTACTGGATTCCACCCCTCATTTTATATGCTGAGCAGACAATATTGCCTGAAACTCCAAGGCGAGTTAAGATAAAAAGCTTTTTTTTTTTTTTGTGCAGTTAATTTAGCGCAAAGGAAGCACTAACTGTAGTTTTTAGAGGGCCATTATGGGATGGTTTTGTAGAATTTGTGGAAATGATAGGAATGTGCATATGTTAGAATTCGGGAAAAACAAAACATGCGTGTTTGGCTGGCATGCATGCAAGGGTGCTTGGCTATTAAATACAAACATGTGATATTTGTTCTTAACTGCAGACAGCAAGTACCTACCTAGTTATTGTGCTCACTCTCACGCTGCCCCAAGAGAGTTATGTTTCTTATGACCCATCTTCTTCTCACCTACAGTAATCTCTCTCGCCAAGAAGACTCTTCATTCATGGCTTACGGTGACCCAAAACAGTTCTTGTACTTGACAGATTCTTCTCTTTTCAATCCATTATTCACAACGTAAAATATAAATTGCTAGAGACAACTTGAAATTCGAAGGTATAATTATGTCTGTATGTGATGTTCAAACTGTTTAGCCGCAATTATTGGGCTAAGTAACGAAGGAAGTGAATGTCCAAAAGCTGTATTCATTCATGAGAAAAATTTCACCTCCCCACTTAAAGACTACGAAATGATATGAGCTTGGAAGAAATACTGTTTGGATGCAATATGAAAGCGTCGGCAGGGATGAAAGTGAAGAAGGACCTAAAGTTAGAGGGTTAATGACAAATGGGAAGGACGGTGGGGTCAGGTGATAATTTAGAAACTATTTCACATGGGAGGGAGGGACTACCACAACACAAACACCGCCCAAGGCTACGGACATAGGACACTCCCCTACTTCATTTTTGCAACCTCCCTTGTACCCAATAAGTTTTTTTTCTTTTTCTTTTGGACCTTTCTATCTATGCATTTTCCTAAAACACAGACGCACACTCTTCCTCTCCCTCCAACCCAATAATATTGCCACTTGTGAAACTTAATTAGCTTGGTTTAGTTTGTTCTCAAGAATATTCCTTCCTAGGTGTAATACGTACCAATTAATTTCAGATTATTTGGTTGATTACACTCTCATGTTCAATGATTATATATATGTGAGTTGGAAACTAAGAGAATGTTTAGTTGCTGATAAGGATGAGAATGTAATGGATTAAAGAATGTTTAGCTGCTGATAAGGAACATGATAATTAACGTGGAGTATGGAATGGAACTTGGTTTGCATGCAATTATATGACCTCGGTAACAATTCAGATTTTATACCCCCTGTGTGTATACGAAGAAGGAGATGAAGTGGTAATAGACTAATAGTAGTACCCTTTGGCCTATGGAGCTAAATTTGCTGGGGAAAGGGGGACGAATCTCTGGACTTAGATTTGGGGGTCCTCAATGTCAGCATGCTGCATATACATCAACGCGTGGATCTGTGAAAACACAGGCCATAGACATTGGATAACAATATCAGATTCCTCTGACCACACATTCTAACAAATGTATGTTAGAGAAAATAGATAAATGCTTATAATTATCTATAGTAACAGAATGATTGTATCTTATAATATCTACGAATATCCCCTCTCCGCCAAATACGGTGCTACTCTGTTTCTGTAACAATATGCTGTTATTATATTGGTCTATATAATACGACAGGCAGGTGCTAGTTAATGCATCGGTGCCTATTAATCAGTTCATTGATTTTACCTAGATTCTAAGTTGGTACCAGAGCCTTCTTTTTGCCGTCTTCCAATGTCGACTTCCTCTGTCAACTCTGGTTCTGATAGAGCTGATTCACCCGCTGCTGCAAAGACTTATTCTCTCTTTTATTCTTCTAGTCAGACCACTTCGATCAAGTTGGATCGAAGCAATTTCTTGGTCTGGGAATCCGTCGTCCTCCCCTTGATTGAAGGCAACCGATTACAGTCTCATATTGATGGTTCAAGCCTTGCTCCTCCACGCTTTGTCCCTGGAACCGATGGGCCGACGTCAAACCCCGAATATGAAGAATGGTTTGCTGTCGATAGGCTCCTCGTTGGTTGGCTCAGAAATACTATGACACAAGATGTGGGAGCGCAGTTACTTCACTGCAAAACAGCACTGACCCTCTGGAACGATCGGGTGGCTCCTCGTTGGTTGGCTCAGAAATACTATGACACAAGATGTGGGAGCGCAGTTACTTCACTGCAAAACAGCACTGACCCTCTGGAACGATCGGACGCTCACGTGTGCAGCCACCAAAGCTCGAGTAATGGTGTTCAAGTCGGAACTCCAACAAACCAGAAAGAACGGGATGAAGATGGCAGAATACTTAGCCAAAATGAGAAGCATCTCGGATCAGCTTGCATTAGCCGGTGCACCAATCTCAAATGATGATCTGATTTTACAAACTCTAAACGGCCTAGATGCCGATTACAACCCGATTGTTGTGAAACTCATCGACAAGGATCGTCTCACCTGGGTTGAAGCTCAGGCTTCACTCCTTGCCTTTGAAAGCCGATTGGACCAAGTCAACCAATTTGCCTCACTTAGTATACAACCTACGGCCAACTTTGCTCGTGGGGACTCTACTACTACCCGTCGACCACCTGCACCAGGACATCAACCTTCTGAACGAGGCACCTGGCGTGGACGAGGTCGCCGCTCTCGTGGCCGTCACGGAGGCAATAGCAGAGGTGGCCGGCCTTACTGTTATTTGTGTGAGCGATTCGGTCATACCCTTGCCAACTGCTATAATCGCTATGATCGCAATTTTCAGCCTCCTTCATCATATGGTCGGTCCAACAACAATTTCTCTAGTCCCTCTCCTCCAAGCTATTCGCCTCAGGCATTTTATGCAGATTCCAACACTGTGGCAGATCCTGATTGGTATATGGATAGTGGGGCAACTCATCATGTGGCGTCAACTCCCGAACAACTCGATCATATAAATTCAGTTGGTAAGCCTCAACATCTTCTTACATTTACAGGAACCAAGACACCCATACTTGGTACAGGTTCTACGTCACTCTCATGTTCACAATCTACTCTTAAACTTAATAATGTTCTCTTAGTTCCAAATGCTACTAAGAACCTACTTAGTGTCCACAAGCTCGTTGAGGACAATGAAGTAGCTGTTACCTTTACTAATGCTGGTTGTACTGTGAAGGACAAGGTGACAGGACGAGTTCTGATGCAAAGACCACCAAGGCAAGGGTTGTATCCAATGACCAATGATGGGAGACGGACCAAAGTACCTCAAGTTCATATGGCATTCACTGGTGATGCAGAATCTGATTTTCTTCAATGGCATTTCAAATTAGGTCATCCTAGCAATAAAGTGTTACGACAAGTGTTGAATAGTTGTAACGTGAACGTCGCGATTAATGACAATTTCGTTTGTGAGGCTTGCCAATATGGCAAATCAAAGTTATTATCTTTTCCTCAATCTGTGTCACATGCTTCTTCTCCTTTAGAACTCATTCATACAGATTTGTGGGGTCCTGCTCCGGTTCAATCAGTCAATGGGTCTCGTTACTATATACATTTCATTGATGATTTCAGTCGGTATACCTGGCTATATCCGTTGAAACACAAAGGCGAAGCTGTAAATGCCTTTCAACTTTTTAAAGCATATGTGGAGAATCAATTTAACAGTAAAATTAAAGCTATACAGTGCGATAATGGAACTGAGTATAAACCGTTTGTTCCTATTCTACAAGCAGCAGGTATTCAAATGCGGCTCACATGTCCTTATACATCTCCACAGAATGGACGAGCTGAACGGAAACACAGGCATATTGTTGAAATGGGACTAACTCTGCTCGCTCAGTCAAAGTACCACTCACTTATTGGGTTGAAGCCTTCCAAACAGCAGTCTATCTCATTAATCGTCTTCCCACACCAGTGCTACGAGGTCAAACGCCCTTGTTTCAACTCTATAAAAAGGAACCTGAGTATGAAGCTCTGCAACCTTTTGGGTGTGCTTGTTACCCTTGTCTCAAACCATACAACGAGCACAAATTTCAATTTCATTCTCAAAAATGTGTGTTCCTTGGACCAGCTCCACAACATAAAGGGTTCAAATGTTTAAGCGCAACTGGTAGGATTTATGTTTCCAGACATGTGATATTCGACGGTTCTATTTTTCCATTTGGCACAGGTTTTCTGAAGAGACGGAGTTCAATTCGTGATGCAATCTCAAATATTCCCATCCAGATCACATCATCACAGCAGCATGAATGCCCAAAGCCATCTCCACTGAATAACAAAATAGTAGCCTCAACCGAGCCCATCTCTCCTGTGCAGTCTATATCTCCACATACTGAGCTAGGTGTAAGCCCAACACATCGTGACCAGTCCAGCACTGTGGAATCCCAGTCGCCAGATACTGTAGAGATCCAGACTCAAGACCCTGGTCTTAGTCCAGTTCAGGAGCCAACAAACCGCCACCCAATGATAACACGGGCCAAAGCCGGTGTATCCAAGCCCAGGTATCCCTTTATAGGTTTGCTTGCATCTGAAAGTCCTCAGCTTCTCACTCAAGCGACTGAACCCAGGAGTGTCGCTGAAGCACTCTCTATTCCACACTGGAAGCAAGCTATGAAAGAGGAGTTTGATGCTCTCCTACGGAACCGTACATGGATCCTAGTGCCCTACCATGATACTCAAAAAGTTGTTGACTGTAGATGGGTGTTCAAAATGAAGTTCAAGGCCGATGGATCGATTCTTAAACCCAAGGCAAGGCTGGTCGCAAAGGGCT